AGGCTTGTGAATCTATCAAAGCGAAGGCTTTATATTTATTAGGTCCTAAATGCACATCTATTATAAAATAAGAAGAGGGTTTTGAGGAGAAGATAGGACCTTGATTAGAAATTATATAAGATTCCAACCACACGGTCTCTATTATAGTTGGACAAATTTGTTTTCTGACATATTGTCTTCTTTGTCAGATGTGCTTTTCATTTTGTAATTTTGTCGCTTCTTTGGACAATGTTGAGCAATGTATTTAGGTTCTCCACAATATAAGTACAATCCTTCTTGATGGCGATGAGACTTTTCTTGCTCAGTAAAAGGTTTAAAACATATCGCGTCAATTTCCATATCTTCTACTTCTAAATGTATGTGTTGAAGAGATGTTGGTGTTGCCATTGAATTGTAATAATGTTGAGGTCGATTTGTATGACTCTCAAATCAAAATTTAAAAAGTCGATTGTCATATTTTACAACAAAGTCAATTGCTTGACTCAATGTTTGAAGATAGGATAAGTTGATCATCAATTTTTTTACTTCATATTATAATCTAAAAAAAAATTGGCTAATAAGTACAACATCATTCTACTTGATATTAGTTACAAGTTGTTAAAACTGTGAACCATATAACGTTATAAATCGATTGTTTTGTCATAAAATATGGATCTTGTTGGTTGCAACATGAGTTGCAACATGTTCTCCATATATGGATTGAAATTCTACCAAAAGTACCTCTAGATTATCCAATATTGGATTTCTTCATTCAAAAAAAGATGAAAACTATGATAGTGTTGAACCTGAAAGAAATGTATCAATGAATCTAACTTATGATCTTGAAGTTGGATAGCTTTGAGGTTGAAGTTCAATCACAAGTTGTACTTGATTAATAAATCCTTGAAATTTGGATCTTGTATCATCAAACTTCTCAAGCAGGGCAACTTTTGGTTCTCTAACACTTGAAGGATGTTCCACCATGGGTAGAGGGACATGATTTGGTGCAGATGTTGAAGTAGCTTTAATCATCTCTATATCCTCACTTCCTGCCATTTTTGTTGATCCTTGTGGTGGTAAGCTAAATTGATGTATTGCAAGCATCAATTCTCTCAATTGCTCTTGCATTTGTATGATTGCACTCTTCATTTCAACAAGTTCTATCATAATAACACTCAGAAAAAATATCTAATACCATTCAAGACAAGTAGAAGAAAGGACTTGAGAACAAAGAAAATACTAAGAATAATATCAATTTAGAAGAGGGTAATCCGTAACTTCTAATATGCTTATGTCTTATCATGAGAAAGGGATAATCCACTCTTAATCAAGACAAGACAAAGCTTTGATATTATAAGTATACCCTTCTCAATTTGTCAAAGACATGAACTAAAAGATAATACATAAATTAATAAAATTCGTGTCAAAGAAAGAGTGACAAAATAAAAATAAGAAAGTATGTATATTAAAAGAAACTAGAAAAGCTTATTGCCAAAAGACAAGAAAACTTAAGACTCTTGAAACTAGATTAAAAACAAGAAAGGAGTTGACAAGAATAAAGAGGGCTTCATTCTTGTCTCTATATATACTATCTAACTAGAGGCTATGTGGGGATGTTCTATAGGACCTCCAATATGTGTTGACTTTGTAGGACTCATGCCTTGATTTACAAGACAAGTTTTTCTACATGTGGGCCATATAGTTAGCTTGGTCTTCAAACTAACAATATATGTGGCACATGGCCAACTTATTGACCACGTTTCTAATCTAAAAAGTCAATTATAGACACATATAAAATCAAAGCAGCATCTATAAAGCTTCTAAGAAGCTACCATAGAAGATATTATAGAATTAACTTACTTTTACTTACTTTTATTTACTTCTACCTATTTATACAAGTAATTATTGGCTTACATATGTATGTCTCTGATACTTGGGCAGCTTATTAGCCAAACCTATTGCTTTTTAATTTTTTTGAGCACAAATATTAAGACTTGATCTTTTAGATTATATTCATTAGTATATATACATAGTAGGATATATATATGTATTGATTGATAATATTGGCTTTGTAATCTTTTATTAAATCTTTAATTGCTTAAGCCATTTGTCATTATATTTCTTATAAATTGTTAATTGATACTTATAAAACTTCTTAAATACAAATTGTACTTCTTCAATAGTTAATATTGAGGTATTGCAAAGATACAAATTTTTGTAGGGCCATGCTACCACAAACTTCTCTTTATGAAGCAACCACATTTTTCATAGACAAGATGTGGTTGCATACATGTCTTCAAAGCTACTTTGTAACTTGTGCCATTAAACTTTGAATTCAAAGACATCACTGATGCAACAAAGGATGGTCTATACTTACAAGAATTCTTGAAATTCAACATCTAAGTTGAAATGCTTCATGCAATTTGAGAGGATATTTTTTTCTTTATGTCGAAGATACAAAAGATCTCGAGCCTTAAAAAAGATAGCTGCAAATGTAGAGACTAAGGCCAAATTGCAATCTATAATAATCACCTCTAGTATTTCAATTACATCAAAGAGACCATAAACTTACATCAATATCTACTTGTAGTTTGTTGTCTCTTCTTTAAAGAATAATACAAAGCAAGAATAGAATCTCAAATTTAATCTTGTCTAGTCTACAACTCTTAAGAGTGGCATCTCAAAGGAATTTGTTTTATATATATAATTCAAAAGAAACATATTGTAATCTTTTCTTGTTATATTAGCAAATATTGGATGAACTAGGAACAAGTGCTTAATGTGGTTGACAACTTCACATTATATAGCATACTCTTAATATATTTCTTGTAGTTTATCCACCAAAATATGTTTAGACAAGCAACCCTTCAACTTCTAATAACAAGCTTGTGTAAAAGTATCTCAATATTTCTTGACTAAGATGATCAATTATTTATGTTCATATTATAAAATCACTTGTCTTTAATATACAAGGACATCTATTGAGACAAATCTTTAAATGGTTTATTTTTTTTTACTCCCAACAATTACCAATAAATAGGATTATTGGCCAGACATTGCAACTTTTGACCTTTCAAAGGCCATTCTTATCCTTTTGACTTCTATTATGTCATTTACAATCAATAAGGTGTATGCTTATTTTGAGATGCATCTCTTCTACATCCAAATGAAAGGAATTGTAGTGTTGATTGCTTAAATTATATCCAATGTTATCAATAGGTCCTTGTGAGATTGCATAATTTATATATTGTATCTAAATTGGTCATGGTAATTATAGCCATAAGCAATGATATTGTTGTATTTGGCAAAAATGTGGATATTATTGAATTACATGGCAAGATAGAAAATAGAAGAAAGAAAATTGAAGATGAAGAGAAATATAAAAGTCAAACAAGGAGTTTTGTTACAATAAGGGATTTATCCTATAATATATTAAATTAATTATTGCCCAACAAAGTAAGAGTTGTTAAGTGTATTTGAGGGATTTGTGAGTGTATTGAACTTGTTTATAAATTTTGATAGTCTCTAGGGGCAATTTGAACACATTTGCAACACCATGTTGTAATAAAGTAATCAAATGATGGGTAGAAATAGTAGAAATATGGGTGGAAATATCAACTCTTATCATCAACAACAAAACCTTTCTACATGATCATTGGTTCAACCATATTATCAGTACTACAAATTCCGTGTACAATCTAGCCTCCACAATTGTATTGCAATCTGTATCATGAGGAATCCATGAACCTTCGGCCGTGTCACTCCGTCGCTAATGGCCCGATTCGTGGCCGATCACTCTAACGACCTCTGTCAGCTTCTCATGCAGGTTAAGACAAATATCGGAAACATTCGCCCGCTGTTGACACAATGGAATTAATAACGTCGCTTAGGTTTGACTTGCTGGACCAAATGATTCCCACACATGCAGAATAATTCGTGGAGTTCTTTACTGCAGTGAGTGATCAGCTGCACGTCTTGATCTGGTGAATCCTTGACTTCGAACAGTGCCAATTGAGCAAAGTAACAGCCACGTGATTTGAAGCATCATGCACAAACTTTGCTCATGCTATCCGCCCTTTACCGTTGCAAATTCTGTGTCTCGTCTGTCTGAGACCAGCTGCTCCTTTACAGATTGATTGTCTGAGATGTTGAAGGCTCTGCATTTGAATTGGCTTCCGGGGGCCATGACTGTCCATTTCTGGATCTGGTCTACATGCAAGCTTGATATTGAACGAAGAAGCGGGGAGCGGGAGGACGAGAGACACATGCATGAGAGGAGAGAGAAGAAAACGACACCATAGACTTGTATATGCACTTGAAAACTCCAACAACAGCGGTCGAGTTTACCTTAGCATCTCACATAAGCCCATCCCTCGGAACTCTTCCTCAATTGTAAACTCAATGTTGCAACCACCGGTTCTCCTTAAGCCGAAATTTCATGCAATACATTTGCGTCGTCGTCGTGATCTTTGTGACATATCTAATAATCAACGTCGACATAGTGACCGCATGGTATGAACCAATCACACACCCAATTCCCTTATTCCATAGAACCGGCAAGAAAGACGGAAAAGCAGACCTTAAGGACGCACTCTGACAGCAGACGCAAATGGCGAAGACCACTGAACTGTAAAAGTAGCAGCACTCGCATCAGTCATCACCTCCCAGCAAATCAGACCGAAAAAGTAAATCTACTACTACTGCTCAGACCCTGATTTGTATAGTAGAGCTTCACAGGAAACCTAACGAGATTAAAACTTGAAGATACAGCGAATCGGAAACCTAATTTCACTGAGGGTCGACTCAGCAAGGTTCTCACATCCCAGCGGTCCTCGCGAGAGGCTATGCCTCGCGTAGGCCTATCGATTACATAAGATGGTGAACAGGGTGATCCAAAGCTCCCACGAGGGGCTGGTCGCCAGACCTAAGCGAGTTGCCAATATGTTTGATTGGCTGGCATCCTTTGGGAAAGGCATGCATTCAAGCGTCACTGAGTCCCAGATAGTTATAATACTCGAAGGTAGATCAAAAGAAATGAATTTAGACAGGCTCCAGCCGACAAGAGAACCGGTATTGTAGGGAGAATCAGAGATGAACTGAATCATAAAATTTCAGAAGACTAGTATCGCTCACCAGTATACACTTTCAGAGATCCTGTCCGATCCGCGTTATCAATAACATACTCAATGCGTAAGTTCCCCATCTTTAACCCTGCCCCGCACATAAGACCCTTTCCTACCCTTTCAACTATTCTACCAGGGTCGTTACGAATAGCCCCAAAATTTTGTAAGCTGGTCAGTGTATCTACGAAGGCGTAACCCTCCATCTGCTGTGGCACAGGAAAACGCACTTCACCTGCAACCTGAATAACAATCAATATCACACATTCAGGTGTTAGCATTTACTCATATTAAACAGTAGGTCACGTCCCCTATATTGCAATTTGCAACAAGGGCGCCACTCTAACCGATAATCGTTACAAACACGAACAGAAACACAATTAATGGCTGGTCACTATACCTCAATGAAACGACTGAAACTGGAAAGCTCCCCGATGTTGTGGCCGCGAAGTGCGTATGGACCTCCGTTTGCAAAGGATCGATAATTTACGACGTCTCCCAGGCATCCCCCGTATCTGGTGTGCAGGACGACGACAAAAGGAATCTCATCCTTCTGTTCTGCTTTCCTTTGTAAAGGTATGTATCTAGTCATCGCAAGCAGATGCCTATTAAACATGGGTGCCCGAGTTCCCAGCCCAACGCCTTGATCAAGCTGCAGAACAAAAACATTCTCCTTGATGAGTTACACTTTTACCACAAGAATTAGTGAAACAAAAAATTGCACATAACTACTGGAATGAAAATTACACTTGTACAGAGCAAGCGTCGATTAGCTGGAGGATAGATAACCAGTAAAAACAGAATTCTGGCATACACGGTATAATCGATCGTCACATATTCAGTGAGACGGACATAAATACGATACTTTACCTGAAACAAATCTCGTGCGCCTAAAAGTCCTGTCTCACCCGACTTTAAGTTACTACGAGTGATTTTCATCTGTAAGAAAGCAATGTGCTCGATTCCAGAAGATTTCAAACTACTTGAAAAACCACTACTTCCTTTGCTTTTGCAGATCGCCCCTATACTGTCCCTCGTGGCCACTTCTTCAATCACCACTCCGTAAGCAAGTTTACTTTGTCCTGAGAGTTTCTGAAGAAGAATACAAGAAAAAAATTGGAACAATTCAAGTTACTCTAGGGTATCCAACTAAGGTTACAATCTTTCTAGAGTTTCTTCAAGCAAACCATACTCAAGCTAGTATACAGATAAAAACATACACTTCCTTTAAACAATAAGAACCATCCATTTATTTTCAATTAGAGCCAGTAGCAACCAAAAAAGAGTACCTCTATGATAGAAGCCTTAATGCCTGCTCGATCAATCCATATCGCAGGAACTTCCTTAAAATGATCAGCATTATAATAGGTGGCGCTCAGCTTTCGTTTGTTGAAGGCAAGTAGCCTCAAAGTGTGCTTGTTGTGCTTATCAAACCCCTCTAACTGAGGATGTACACTCTGAAGGCCTTTTACAAGAGGATGAGCGTACTCCAATTTAAAGCCTAGGTCATCCTGCACAAGAATTGGAAAATTCAGAATAAAATTACATAAAAAAAATTACGAAACCTTTAGGATTCTCAAAACAGTTCAACCTTCACCAGACGTTCACAATCTCATAAGTTGATGGTGAGACCTGAGGACGTAAAAGGTTGCTGGTAGAGATACACCCAGATACAGTTCTACTCAATCCATTGATATTTCGATGTTGTACACACAGACTACCACCGGGCTGAAGTGTCCACTGTAAAACACGCAAAACTCAAAAATGTTAGTTGGGTCGTCTAATTACAGCAAAGCTCTTCACAATTAATGGAGAATTAGTTTCCTTATGAAACCCAAAATCAGAAACATCGATCTAGATTCAAAGTCAAGAGAGTTCGCAAGTTCCAACCAACCCACTAAAGTTAAAGTCATGAAAACCCTCACTAAACTCAGATGCACTTAATAATAGGAATTAAGAAGAGAATGATAACCGGCATGTAAACATACTAGGTCGGGTCTGCCAGCATCGTTGCATAGAAAGCTCCATTCAGTACTGACTTCTGCAGACTGACGAGGGCCCTCTTTCACCAGAATGTGCACCGCGATGCCCTTCCTGTCACCACAATCGGAGTCAGAGGCAGCCAGTATGTTCACTTTGTCAAACAGCCCTAGCTGCTCTATCCTCTTCAGTGCCGCTTTCCCTGCTTCTGAGTTGAATGGCATGCCTTCCCTCACCTGCAGACCAGCCGTCCTCCATTCTTCACGTTTGTACAGAATGACTTGCTTTCTTCTTAATCCACTTAAAAAATAACGTGACCATGCCAACCAAACACGAGATGCACTGAAAAACAGTTGCCCCATTACACATAAGAGGAAGAAAGCACACTTACTGCCTTCGGAAGGTTTTCTAAAATAATGTCCTTGTTGGTAAAACAAACTACAGGCTGGGCCATTTCGTCTTCACAAGACATAGAGATTTGCGTGATGATGCCCTCGTCCACATGGCATTCCAACACCCCTGCTTCCGACGTTCTAAAGCCCTTTACCTTAGCAAGTACATAACCTTGATTACGGTACCAACTCTCGACCTTATCCTGAATATCGTTGAGGGTCTGTCTCGATGGCTTCTCCTCTGTCTGCAGCATGGTATTAATATCCCTCTGAACACTGTCTGATAGAATACATGGTGGTGAAAACTCACTGCTCAGGTAGTTTGATTGGGAGCAGACGGACTTCTTTAATTGAGAACTAGCATTCACGCATTGAAATGAAGAGATTTCGCTACAAATGGCGTCTTCAGTCAGCACTACAAGCTTTATAGCATCCTTAGAATCTGCTTCCCACAGCATATCCACGCTTTTATACCAGCCTGTGGCCAACAACCGAGACGTCGCCTCCATTACCTCCCATTTACTGTATTTTCGATCAGCTTCGAATCCCAAAATTTCGTATGCCGAAAAGTCCTCGTCTAATTCCATACCTTAACACCAAAGCTCCGAACTCTTGTAAATACTCACATACCCGTAGACCCTACTGTGAATGCGGGGATAACGTATCATTCTCACACAAAACCTCTGTCTTCGAAGTTGTAAACAAAGCCTCAAATCCAGCATATCTTTTGCATTCGAGGATACAATGCCAAGAAACAAAAATGGCAAACGCCTTGTACATAATTAAGACACAAGAAAGCTGCTTCCGCTGACCTAAGTTGCATATTCTATCTGAGAATGTAAAGATTTTTTAATTTAAATTGCAACGCTACAAGAGCACAGAAGCTTACCATACCTTCCACGTGAATAATTTCCAACCCCGAACAAACATAATGTTTGCTCGCATCCAGGCTGCTAAGTGGCGACAATTTTTTTGAGCTTGAGCCATACGATTCCCTGACCTGGCCGTCTTCCTGTTCTTCGACGAATCCGAGACGTTCCACAGTAGAATCCGCATCCGGACCCATGCTGCCTTCTCCCCAAGAGCCTCCATCTCCTCCACCACCCGCCCCTCCCCCTCCTCTCCCACCCTCTCCGCCCGTGAACCATAAACTCAACGCCTCCAAGCTGCGCGATACCGCTCCCCCGAGCTTCTCGCCCACCGCACCGGCATGCCCTAAGGCAATCTCAAGAAATCTGTCTCCTCGTTCTAAACCCTTCACCGACGACGCAATATTGGCTTTTCCTGCCTCGCCAAACGTTCCTGCCGCCCCCTTCTGACGCAATGCCACCGTGTTCGACAGCCCACGATGGATTCCTCCCGCCACACTAACCTGCCTACGTAACATGGGCAACGCGATGCCCCAATTACTAAATCCCCTTCCATCATACACCAGACTCCCTCCTCTCCCTCCTGCTCCATATCTAATATTCAACCCAACGCCAGTGTGATGCCATCCACAGCAATAGTCGCACGAGACCAAGCCCGCGGCATGCTTCATCCCTACCAATCCCCTCCCTCTCCGCCAAATCTCATCGTTGGCTCAAGCCTCACACACGCAAGTAAACTCTCCAAATAACACTCCATGCCAAATTTCATTCAGCAAACTTTGGTAAAATCATAAGCGTTAGTAGAGCCCATCATCATCGTCATCATCATAACAGATTGGTCTACAATCGGGCACAATTCGCACACACACAAAAGTCTGTTCTGCGAACCAGAGATTGTATCTGCTGAGATTCAGCAGCGTGAAATTTGTATGAGAGTTGTGCATCCTTGAATTCAGGAATATCCGGGTATATGTGTCCACACCTGGGTTCCTGATACCCGCGTGCGCCTCAAACTCGTCCCCCTCTGGTCCTCTACTACAGGAGCCTGGAGATGGTCCCCAGTTTGATGAAAACAGCACACCTAGATTTGCACTGAACCCAATTGACGTGCCGCGATCACGTATTGTGTTCAACTACGGATCCAACAATCTATCGTCAACACACACGATTTTGAGCTGCTCTGCTTTCGACGACTTTCTGTGCAACCGAAGCCCCAACATGGCAACAACCATACGTACAATTCCACTACTCAATCAACATAGAAAAGAGGAGCCAGGCACACGTTGAAATGTCCAACATAATCTTGCGTGTCTATGTGAAACAGGTAAGCGATCAAATATGTTGTCATTCATATAATTGGCTGACTTGCAGAAAGCGCAGCCTGATAAAGGCTGAACATACATAGGTAATGTTGTGAATTTGTAGAAAACTAGGAACTATCCACCTCTTGCTGTCAACTAAGTGAAGAACTCCAGCCAGCACAGCTTGAGAATTCTCACTTTCTAAAGAATAGATATCTGGTTGCTGTAATTTAGTAGTCCGTGTCTGTTCTCTCCATTGATGAAGAGCTGACAGCTCTCGAAACCACCAAAAGATTTCGCCACCTAGATGAAGAATATCGACTGGAAGTTTGGCGCATTCTGTAGGGGTCAATTAGTATTTATAGCGGTGCGCAATGGCTATGTATTCGAACTGTCAGTGCTATGATGTGGTGCCTAGGTGCCGCGCACTGCAGCTTGCTCCATCTGCACAGAGATTTGAGATATGAGCGAGAATTGCAACCTCTCTTAAGGAATCAAATGATAGTCGAGAAGAACCTGATTGACCATCTTCTCTAGCTAGTAATAGTGAGCTTGACTTCATTCTTATACAAGAATTAGTAATCTAATAGTTTCCATATCCATCAGTAACAAGACATTCAATGAATACCAACACAGAATGCTACAAGATACAATCGATGTGAGTCGCTAAAACCCGCTACTCAAGGATTGATGCAAATTGACACTGCTTCAGCATTCGATCTATGCAGTTAATTCTAGACATTCCTCACACGGAACAGGATATTTCACCAATTCATACATTAGGGAGACCCTGATATATCAGCCACTAATAACCAAATTCTCTACAGAGGCAGAAAGGTCTAAATGGTTCACAAATGTGTTGGTTCGCTAGTCTTGATGTATACTACTGGGGAGAGGAAATCAGTTGTCTAAGAGTGTTTTAGTATGACCAGCACAGAAGTTAGAGGTAAGGCTCTTCAAATCCAGATTTGGAAGTGATGGATATAAATCCTAAGGTGTGGCTCAAATCATTAAGTAATCATTGCGTCATTACTACATCTAAAGCCTCAGCAGGACAGAAGTGATAGAAACTGGACGGAAGTGAAGGGCACATTAAAGAAGAAAGGACTATTAAGAAGGTTGATGTGAACAAGTTAGAAAGAAATTGGAAGACCAAAACGCAGGAATAAAGAGAAAAAAAAGAGTAAATCAGCAAAATCTATTGATTCTTGCAAACCTCTAGCAGTAACCATCCGACAAGCAGGGTTTCTGCCGACCGATTCTGAACCAATGCATAAAAACTCTTGAAACAAACAATTTTGGCAACCTTGACTAATTGTATTGACAGCTCAAGCTCTAAAGTGGAGCTCATATTCATACATTTGAGGTACTTGACACAGAAATTCGACCAGCAAAACCACATAAATTCATAGACTTGGAATAATTAACAAGCATTAGGGTTGCAAATTATAGATTTCTCACTCTATGCTAAGGTCCTCGTCATTTCTTGGACTTCCGAGTTTTCTTACAACCCGAAACCTCGAATCGCGCCGCAGGACATCCACAAGGCGCTCGAAAAATGAGCACCGTTCGACCGTTTGGTGGCGCCATTTTGCGTAGCTCAGCCTCTAACTCTTTTTGCTCATGTTTCAGCCCTATGCCTCCTTCACCATTCCACGGCGCCAGCTCCTTAGCTCCCGACAGTTTCACACATTCCTCCGTCTCCAATTGAATATCGAGCGCCACAGCATTCCGCAACCCTCGGCAATTAGGATTATCACACTTCCGGTTCAAATACAACCAAATTTCGTAGCTCGCAAGCACAGCCACAAACATGAACACGGTCGCACCAGCGTATGCCACGGGGGCTTGGATCACCACCTCCCCAATGAGAAACAAAGCAGCAGGCACCACTTCCGCTGCCTCAGCAGCAACAAACTTCACATACGGCGTGAAGAGAAATCCGCAAGCTCCCAGCACCAAAACCAAGATAACGACATCAATAGCAACACTGAATGACAAATGATCGCAATCCTTCAGCGAAGGCGCAGGCGAATTGGAACCATTTCCTTTCCGCGGCCGCTGCCTCGGCCGATACTGATACAGCGAGAATTGATCCGCGAGCGTCAGCGTGTCTGCCATGGCCAGATTTGTTCCCCTCTTTTTGCAATTGTTTTCTTTGCGCATAACCTACAAAATACTCTTGTATTTTTTCTGCTCCCTCTCACCAGGTTGATTATCAGGTTGCTACATCACTTTTCCTCCGCTTAACACAATTTTCAATGCTGGACGATCCGCGATTACCCTTTCCACTACTCGCAATCGGGGGACGGCAACGCCATAGCCGCCGCAGAGTTCCGAGACTTCCCAACGCTCCTTGACCACCACAACCCAACATTGCTACGAAGCCCCTTTCTTACCCCACCCCCCCCCCCTCCCCGGCTTGCCAAAAAGTATTACCCTTACTTTTTCGTCTTTTCCTTTAAAAAGTAAAAGTATATCCTGTTCCCACACTTCCATGCGGTGCATGCCGGTCTCTTATATTAATGAGAAGCCCCATGTCATTTACCCACTTAGTTAATCCCCACCCTTCTCCATTAGGATTGGATTGGCAAGTTGGGTTGCTTTCGTCACAAGTGTTGAGGTAGAATTAGAATTAATTGATTTTCGAGGATGTTGTTGTGATTTGGACTGCATGAGTGGATGCATAAATAAATCATCTATGCATAGAGTAAACTTTAATAACGTTTATGTTCACATATCTTGAGATTTTTTGTTTAATTTATGAAATAATTTATTTTGTATTCGTGTAATAGTTTATCACAATAAATGCAATATCAAATTATATGATTATTAAAATAAAATAAAAATAAAAATAAAAGATGTTCATTAGACAAAAACCATGCACAAATGGATTAAATATGACGTTTAAAAATGATCACATACAAAAACAACAATGAGACATTAATGAACAAGTTTTACAATGCACATGTTTTACAAAGAACGTGTAGTGTAATAATAGTACCTCGGAGAAGTCAACATTTTAAAATAATTTAATACAAAATTTGATTGTTGCATATGCAAACAACCAGATTCTCGGTAATTTACAAAACCAAATTTGAAGTTCACTGTGCAACTCTTTTGGATTAATAATAGAAATATTGTACTTAATATCCACCAAATATATGGATTCATTTGAAAACTGCATCAGTCAACACAATAAAATGTACACCTATAAGTTACATTTTAAGGCTGCACAAGCTATGCAAGTGTCACACCAAAAATGTACGCCTACAGGTTGACTACTATGGTAAAAAGTTGAATAAAATAATAATTTTAATATGGCCAAATCCAAAATTGATATTGAAGTGTAATACAAAACTTGATTTTTTCTGTTGAAGACAATAAATAATCATTGCATCCATATATTATAAGAAAGACATATATTTTTCATTACAGATGTTAAATCACCAACACACTTATAGATTAAAATTTTAGTTGCATACAATTGTATACAGCTTTGAGCTAATGAAAAAATTATATTCACTTACTTTAGTAAAAACAATGGCATGAAGATACAAAATTGTACAATTAAGGTTAACATCGATATTATAATCTTAAGATTCCAAATTAATAAAAAAAATATTATTAATCTTAAATTTTAAATAAAAGATAGATAATTATTTATTAAATTTGAAGGATCTTTATACTTAATAGGCAATATGAGAGGCCATAACTTTTAGATCCTTTGATTACATGAGCTTCAAAACACTCGCTTGTTTGTATTATACTTTACAAATTTAGTCCAAAGGCCCTAAGTAGAAATGATGAGGTAAAATGTATTTTTTTTTTCTTTAAATTAATTTATTTAGAGAAAATTTTAAAAGTATGGAAAAATATCATTTAAAATAACCATTAAAAGTAAGAAATCAACTTTTTAATTTTTTTTCATAATTATTAGAATCAAGATACAAATATGTATATATAGATTCTTATTAAAAAAATGATTTGGTCCATTTTATGGTTTCTTCTTAATTTATACTAAATTCAAAGCTAAGACTTTAAAAAGAAGGATTATTTTATTTACCAAGCACAAAACTTAATAAGATTTATGCACCATTGCCTTTTAAGTAAGCTTCTTAGTATAAAACCTTTTGTATTGTTATTTTTTTTTACTGTAATATCTAAATTTGGATCTAATTTTATAAATATAGGAACAATTATAAATTGTGTACCTATTGTTAAGAGAATGAAGGTTTTAAAATTTTATAATAGGTACACAATTTATTAAGAGAAACAATTATAAATTGTGTACCTATTTATAAGGTTGTAAAATTTTTGATGAATGATAGGTACACAATTTACAATAGGTACACAATTTATTAAGAGAATGAAGGTTGTAAAATTTATTTTGGAAAAATAATTATTTTAGTATTCATTAGTCAATATAATTTATTTAATTATTCAATCACATAATGGTTAGACTTGTTGTAATAATAAGATTAAAATTATATTTTATATTTATTATTAATATTTGATTAAGAATATATAATCTAATTACTTTAGATTAATTATATCTCTCTTAAAGTAAGTTTAAAAGAGAAATCATGAATAAATATATTTAAATAAAAATTAGATAATAAGCATTATAAAAATTAGGTATAAATAATAAAAAAATTAATATTTTAAATATTATTCTACTATATAATTATTTATTTTAATATGTAATAATTTTGAATATAAAATATTATTTTTTAATTTTTAATATATTCTATAAACATAATAAATTATCATAGATTTATTTATTATGCAAAAATAATATCTCTTATATGAAAACTAATCCAAGAATTCAATGTTCATTTAGTTATTGAAGGATGTGAATCTACCCCGAAGTGTGATTTATAATCCAATATAATGTATAAGGCATTTAAAAACATCCTTTGCAACATTGAACAATCTAAATTATCCTAAATATATTCTATTAACCTTAAAAAAATCTTATATATATATATATATATATATATATATATATATATATATATATATATATATATATATATGATATTATTATATTTTAATCAATTCTAAATAAATTTTAAACAATGTTTGACATACTTTCATAAAATCATAAAGAAATCCTAATCATAATCTAATAAATCTCTATAGAAAATTGTAACAAATTCTAACCAAATTCTAACCAAGTTTTGACCAAATTCTAATGAAATTCTTAAAGAATTCTAACCAAATTTTAATAAAATCCCAAAAGCACCTTAATCAAATTCTAATCAAATTCTAAGTCTTAAATTGCAATCAAAACTTAAATAATCTTAACTAAACCTTAACCAAATCTTATAGCAGATTAAAATATTAATAAATAATTATTCAATTGTTGATCTTGATTCAAAAATTTTACAATCTTCATTCTCTTAGTTGAAAATAAGCACTATAAATTTGAAAATGATTGAACTTACAAAATAGAAGATAAACCTTATAATCTCTTTGCGTGTTGTTTGACCTCCTTCTTCAATCTTGATGCCAACCTCTTAACATCAATATCTCTTGTTATCACCTTCTAATTGCTCTCAAATTTTTTAAATTTTTTAAAAATTAAGTTTGCTATTTGTGAGTTAGATTTTATTTCAATCCAATTAGTGAATTGATACATATCTTAGAAACCTTTACTTATCTTTTAAACTTCAATTTTAGAAATCCCAATTCACTTAAGTTTCAATAACCTTTACATTTTAATTGTTCAATCAAGCTTAAACTTTCAATACACATTCAAAACATCTATGATCACAGATCTATAAATTTTCACTTGTAGATCCACTATAAACTCTACAAAATACTCCAAAGTAAAAATTCTTTTTTAATCACAAAAACCAAAGTTACTCCAAAAAAACCTTAATTTAGAAATTTTCTTACAAAGTTCTTACAAATCAAAATTATTCAAAATCAAAATCCAAAAAATCTCTCTTTCATATGCTCTAGAATCCTACTTTTTAATCAACAAAAACAATTGTAGATTTTCTATAAAGGCACAATTTTTTGTCTCATGATTCGTAACCAATCTTCTTTGACCATCAACATCTAATTTTTATAAGTAATTTTTGCTTGAAGATATTATTTACTTCTATCTTAAAATGCCTATAATAATCTTTTTACTAATCTTTTTTTATTTTTTTATTTTTTATTTTTTTGTCTTATTTATAGTCCTACAAATTAACTAGAAGTCCATTTTTCAAAGAAGAAACATTAGTATTTATTAGTTTGACTACCTCCTTGATTATTATCTATATTTTTAAAATATTTTTTTATTATATTTTGAAATGAGATCATCTATAGTATGATCTTTTCTTCTATTTTTTATCCATTAGGCATATTACAATACAACAATATTAAAATTAAATTACTACCTCTAATATTAATTCTATCAAATTTATTTTAGTGGAATCTAAATAATATAATCCTTGTAAAGAAGTAACAAGATATCAATAAAAAGAGAAATTGACTTCTACAACTATAACAATTGCAAAATTTGAGTCTACAAGATTAATAGGGGTGGTCTCTCAATCAACCATTCTAAACTATATAGGCAACCTTTTCAAGCTTGAGCACATTTGTATAGACTTAGATGTAATAGTGGATATTACTACATCAACATTTTCTTCAATAGCTACTAATGAAGAATCACGACCAAATTATAATAATCTCTCAAAGATAGTTGATAGATGTATAACTACTGATCCTACTTTAGAACTAAAGATTATCAAATAATATCTTGTGTAGAACTTGTTATAATTTATTTATTTTAGATCCAGAGCCACTTCTTAATTTACTACTATGCACCTATATTGAGAATTGTTTTTAGACAAAAATACTATTTAAGTTGACTATCCATGAGAGAAAAATGGAATTTTTTATCCAATATCAAATCCATAGTAAGATTCTATTTTTGCAGCAAATTAAAAATCAAATTAGAATAGGTCATTTGACATCTAATTTGTGGCATTGGCTTGTAACATGTACATATTATTTAAGCTACATATCAATCCAAAGACTAATTAAAATAAGAAATCCTTAAAAATCATTAAAAAAATATTTTAAATACAATAAAGATTATAAAAATGTATTCAACAATCTTATTAGGAATAGATGTTAATTGAGACATCTAAATAACAATTATCCAAATTTTAACTACTTTAGAAATGTCTACATCTATAGTAAGAATTGATATTAGAAATATATTATATTAATATAATTTATATTAGAAAAATAAAAAAAAGATATCATTAATAAAATAATTATTTTTACATATTTAGAAATGATAAGAATTAAGGACTTTAATTATATCTCAAATTTAGTTTCTTTCTATTGTAATAAAGGATTCAATTAATCTTCTTTAAGAA